AAAATATGTATAAGCAATTTTGATTCAATAAAAATTAAAAAGAAATCATTTAAAGTCTCTGGAAATTGTCCTAAGGCATACAGCAAATGGAGAAATTCATTCAAGATAGTCTACTCAATCTTGGTAAGAATAGAGTCTGTGATATTCGAGCCATGGCTTGCTCTGTTACCCACCCCAGCTCCAAGGACTTCACTGTTGTGCACTCTGGGCAGCAGTGGCCCCTGCAGCTTCCAATCTTGGGCTACGGTTTCACTCTGGCAAGAGTAGATTGCTGGCATTTCTTGTTGCTGCCCTAGCCCCAGGTTGCGGAAGCTCTGTTCCAAGTAGGCGTGGCCAAGAGAACCTAGACTCCCTTCCCTTGGCCAGTCCCCACTCGTCAGTGTAAGCTTTACTCCATGTGCAGCAGGCCACAAATAACAGTGCCTGATTGTTCCGATCCCAGTTCGCTCATAGGGAGGAGGTGCTACGCCATGAGGGGCAAGCTGAAAAGAACAGGGGATTCCATTCGTCCCCACCTCTCCACCGACCTCGCAAGTGCCACCCACAGAATGGGGATGTTGCTCCTGGAAAAGCAAGTCCCTGCCTCCAGCTCGGGTGCAGCGGAGCAAGGGTTCTGCCCAGGGGAAAGTCAGGCCATAAGACGAAGAGCTCTACAGCTCTGTTTGAGGGGACTGACTTCATTTGGAACAGAGCACGGAGAAGTCCATGCTTACGGGCATTGTCTAAGACATTGGAGATCTTGGTGGAGAGCAATTAAGAGGAGGCTGATAACTCCATAATATGAGCAAAATGGTAGAGCAGCAGAATTTTCATAGAGAGAACAGGGGAAAGCGACAGTCAAGAAGAGCCTATCTGGGATCACAGATAATGCTGGGTGCTGGGAGGTTGTGTGCAGGGGCTATGCTGCCTCCACTCAGCAGCAATCAGCTCTCTAAAAAGCTGCACAAAACCCCATTTCAACAGGGTGGCAGCCTTGCTGGCACAGAGGCTTAAACACAGGATCTGACCAAACACTGAATAAGAAACTCCTCTGACGCAGAGGCATCTCCTAGGAAGCCAGGCTTAAAAATGAAATCAAGGGAGGGGATAGCTGAACGTCGGTTAATGGACACAAAATTACAGCTAGATAGGAAAAATAATGTACAGTAGTGCTAGGCATGTATAATTAACAATTATTTATTGTATGTTCTCAAATGGCTAGAAGAGAGGGGCTCAAATATTCTCATCACAAAGAAATGATACAGTTTATGGGCTGGCCTGTGGCTCACTTGCAAGAGTGTGTTGCTGATAATACCAAGACCTAGGGTTTGGATCCCTATATAGGGTTGGCCGGTTTCCTCACTTGGGAGAGTGTGGTGCTGACAACACCAAGTCAAGGGTTAAGATCCCCTTACCAGTCATCTTTAAAAAAAAAAAAGAAATGATACAGTTTTACAATGATGAATATGCTAATTACCCTGATTTTATCATCACTAATTGTATACGTGTATTGAAATATAATTCTGTATCCCATAAATATGTACAATCAATACGTGTCAATAGATGCAGAAAAAGCATTTGACAAAATTCCCCCTTTCCGTATTTGGAATGCTCTTCTCCTATAGTAGACCTAGCCCCCATTATCTTCAATGTATGTGCTTATTTTCTTGCTCTTCCTATAAGTAACCAATCTCCTGACCCATTAGCCACCTCTGGGTATTTCCATGACTCCTACCCTGTCATCTTTAGTCACCTCCTCAGCACCATCTCCACCTCTTACATTGCATTTCCTAATTGTTTGTTACTATTACATAAAAAAACACTTTAAAAATACAGTGACTCTATTTCCAACAATATTCCTACATTCATTAATTTTAATAGTTTCCCTAAACATTCTTTGAATTTTCTATATACCCAGTCAAGTTGTCTGTGACAGTTTTATTTTTTCCTTTCCAATCTTTATGCCTTTTCTTTTCTTGCCTTATTGCACTGGAGAGGGACTCAGGAAAAGGCTAACAGAACGCATCATGTTTGTTCTCTCTTGCGGAGGAAATGCTTTCATAATTTCATGATCAAGTATACTGTTTGTTGTAGGTTTAGGAAATTCCCCATTATTTCTAGTTTGTTAAGTGCTTTTAAAAAAATCATGAAAGGATGTTAAATTTTACCAAGTTTTATTATATCTGCATTTATAGAGGTAAGCATATGATTTTTCTTCCTTATTAGGTTAATGTGGTACATAGCACATTAATTGATTTCAAAATCTAAAACGACCTTGCATTCTTGGAATAAACCCAGCTTGGTCATGCTGCATTATTGTGTTTATATATTGCTGGGTTGGTTTGAAAATATTTTGTTCAGAACTTTTCTATGTTCATGAAAAAGACTGGCTTATTATTTTTCTTTCTTGTGGTGTCTTTGACAGGTTTTGGTATCATGATTAAGCTGGCCTCATAGAACATCAAATATTCCCTCTCTTTTCAATTCTCTAGAAGAATTGTTTTCAAGATTAGTGTTATTTTTTCCTTAAATGTTGATGTGGGCCTAGAGTTTTCTTTGTAGGAAGGTTTAAAATTACAGTTTAAATTTTTATAGGAATTTGACAGTTTCATCTATACATTCAAATTTATTTGCATAAAGCTGTTTATAATATCCTGTTATGATCTTTTTAATGTCTATAGAAACTACAGTGGTATCTCCTTTTCATTCCTCATACTTATTATTTGTGTCTTCTCTCTCTCTCTCTCTCTTTTTTCTTGATCAGTTGTGCCAAGGGTTTGTCCATTTTGTGTTATCAAAGTATCAAGTTTTGGTTTTAATGATCTTCTTTTATATGTTTATTTTCTATTTCATTAACTTCTGCTCCTAACTTTATTATTTTTTGCCTTTTTAAAATTAAAAAAAATTTTTTAATTGCTATATTTATTATTACACAATGCACTCATTTTTTTCTGGCCCTCTACCAATTTCTCGCTAACCACCCCTCCCCCTGCCCCTTTCTCAGTTCTGTTCTCTCCTTTTGGGAGTTCAACAAATTATTGTGGTGGTTGTATCTTGCTTTTTTTGTGTTTATTTGTTTATTAGTTATTTATTTTTTAGCTCCCACTTATGAGCGAGGACATGCAGTATTTCTCTTTCTGTGCCTGGCTTATTTCACTTAAAATAATTTTCTCTAAGTTCATCCATGTTTTCTTTGAATTTAATTTGCTGTTCTTTTTCTAACCTCTTGAGGTGGATGCTTATATCATGGATTTTCATCTTCTTCTGCTCCTAATATATGTATTGAAGGTGTAAGTTTTCCTTCACGTATGGCCTTAGCTGCATCCTCTATCTGCAGTTTTAAAAATGTCACACACGTAATTCCAGCACGGGACCCTGATAGAGACACGTGTTGTAAGCACTTGTGAAGCGATGAAGCAAGTGGCTGCTTCTTGGACTGGTGACGCAGGGCCCCTGTGAGGCACGCGTGCGGCTCCAGAGACCACTGGGGTCACCTTCTGTGCTTTCACCTATGGCTCCACAGTCACTGAAGACTAATGACACTGTCGAAGCTAAAGAAACTCAGCAGCTCTTGCAATAACGCCTGCGTTTACACAGCCCTTTTGCCTCCCAAGTTTTTTTACTTTTCCTTCCCATGACCTTTAAATTGCTGAAGTTAATGGTCAATTTTTATTCTTTACTTGACTGTTCTCTGATACCTAGTACCACTGACCACTCATCCCCTTTTGAAAATCACTTAGTTCCCTGGCTTCTTTGATGCAATTCTCTGATTCTAGGTTCTCCTTATATTTTCATTTTCAGCATTTCATTGGCTTCTCTTCTTTTACCAATCCCTTAAATGTTGGTCACCCCTCTCATGCCTGAGATCCTTCTCAGATTCTACACAGGCCCTGTGCCTCTGACTTCTGCTACCGCCCAATCTCCTGAATCTTCATTTTCAGCCCTGACTTCTTTCCTGTCCTCCGCACACATATATCACACTTCTTGGGCACATTAAATGTAACATGTCCAAAATGAAACTTAATATATTTCTTCTCTCTGCATCCTGTTGGCTAGCAGAGTGCTTGGCTCTGTGCCCCTTGTTTCCCTAGACACTGTTCACTAGCTTACCTTCCCTGTGTGTCCTTTCAGGTTTGTGATGTTCTCTAGGCTTGTGGTGGTAAAAATGTGAATCACATTTCCATTGGCTGCAGCAAACAGGTGACCTCCATTGCTAAAGGAACACTGCAGGGAAACACAGCAAGAGAGCAAGCAAGCAAGACATGAGCAGTCCAATTGGATACTGCAGTCAAAAGCTGCTTTTCCCAAAGAGTTCTGCCTGAAACTATGTGTGGCGGTGGAAGCGGGGGAGATGCAAATAGGACTGAGAGGTGGCTGACATTTTCAGACACTTTCACCATTCCCGTGGCCAAGATGCTGGCTCTGCCATGCCCACTAATCATTAAGCTGCTTGGATCACAGAGCGCTCATCTCGTCTGTGGAAGCACCATTTCACACTGGGGAAGTGATTCCTGAAATCATTGTCTTGTTTCATCATCTGCAAGTCATCTCAGGGGGAATCTGATGGGCTGTTTCCTGGGTCCTCCCAGACCCCAACCTCACCTTCCCGATTGTGACTCCGATTCAGAGATTACTTTTTTTTTCAATATTTAATACTCCACAATTACAGAGAGGGCTTATCATAGGTAGGATCTCACAAGGTTTTAGGTTCAATGAAATATTTTGGTGGGTTTAAGAAAACAGGGATAGAACCATGCACTCAATAAATTTGTTGGGAGAAGAACTGAATTTTTTCCATTTTTTTTTTAAGCCACTAAAGTTCTCTAAGACAGACTTTACTCTCACCTCCCCAGAGTGTGTTAGTTCTTGATATTTCAACCCTGGCATTCCAAGAAACTGGACATTTATCTCGAGCAGTTTTTACCTCTCTGCATCCTCTGACCGAGTATTCTTTGAAAGCACGAATATCATCAATGAGTAGATTCATAAGGCGTAGTTTGTCAGCGAACCCTACTACAATGTAGTGTCCAGATGGATGAAGGCTGACCGTATATGCCTCTTCTTGATATTCCTTAAATAGTTCCAGAGTGCTGTGAAAAAGATAAGTTATTAAATGAGAAGCCTAGCTCACTAAATCCCTTGAAACCTGCATTGTATCTGGTATATATTGTTATCATAGCCCTTGAAATACTTCATTGCTTGTCATTATTGGTTCCTCTCTTTTCCAGATTTTGGTTCCCTGAAGATAGTGTCCAGCACTGAGTATGGCAAATAGGGGAACTGGTCAAGTGGTTGTCTAGTGGTGCTGAAGACACAGGTGAATTTAGATTCCAAAAATTACCATCTTTCCCCCCCAGCAGCCCCAGCAAGTGTATACACGAGCAAAGAAAACAGTGTAGGGCTAATCTAGGGTTGGAGATTCTCAGGGAATCTGTGCCAGAAGGACAAAATCACTAGGGAGCTGGGGGTGGCTGGGGCAGTGTCGAGGAGAAAGAGTGGGAATAAAAAGTCTGGAGAGCTCCATGAGGTAAAAAGACCTGGTATGACTGAGGGATAGGAGAGCTGGAAGGATACTGGAGGCTGTGTAGGAAGGTGAGATATCAGGGTGTTATCTTTATACCCCTAGTGTCTAGCAGAGTGTCAGGCATGTTGTAAGCATTTAATAAACCACAGAGTAATTTCCCAGCCCATGCAAGGGTGAGAAACAGGTAGGTTGACTAACTTGATTTAAAAAAAAATTTTTTTTTCCAACCAAAGGCTTCTAAATAATTAAATTTTACAACTCTCTAATTAAAACAATTAATATATACAAAATTAATAACTGAAAACCTGCTTTCTACATTAGCAGAGCCTTTTATTCCTTACTTTGTTTCATAATTCCAGAGGCGAATGGATCGATCCAGAGAACAGGTGGCAACGAGAGGTTTGCGGATGCAGGTAGCTAGACCGGTGATGGCTGCTGAGTGTAATGGATACATCAGATACTCAAAGTGAGCAGGCTCCCCCTGGAGAAATCATATGGAATGAGATCCAGCAGAGTAAGCAAAAGGCTGGCTGTGCACTTCAGCTCTAGTTAGCACCCATGGACATGAATTAGTTTGGGTGCACAGAAATTAGGATGTAGGCACATTGTTTTAATGTTATGCATATTTTCCTATGCCAGTATTATTTTAAAACATGATTTTAATGGAAATAAAATATTTTATTCCATGGATATCCTAGAATTTAACTTAACCATTACTCTACAGTGGGAACATTTAAATAGTTTCCAATTTTTGTTATTTAGGAATAACACTAGACTAAACATCCTTGCATATATGTCCTTGTGTATCTCTCTGATTCCTTAGGATATACTTCCAGAAGACTAATACCGGGTAAAATGGTATGAATGATTTTAAGAATCTTGATAAATAATGCCAAGTTTCTCTTTATAGAGACTGTACTAATGACCACCAGCAGCAAATGGGAGTTGAGTTGGTTGAACGATTTTCAATTAAAATGCATCCTATTACATTGGTCCTGTAGGTTCCAGATGTCTGTCATCAGCAGCTTTATCTGAATGAGGAGTGATGGTTGGGAAATGTAATTAGGTATACGAATTTAGGTCTGTTCACAAACCAAGACCAAAGCTGATATGGGAATTCCCTCAAATTCTGGCTCACTTACAAACTTATCTGCATCCATTCTATCCTACTCTGCTATCCGAGAGAAAGAGGTGCTGTGCTGGGCTGGGAGGCAGGTGCAGACTATTACTAGTCTTCTCCATCTGTTACCCCTTCTTTCTCCAATATCTTAAACCTGCTTGTCACTACCAGCACATTCCTATTATCTTTTAAGTACATTCAAATCTCTCTTGTCTTAAAAACAAAAGCAATAGTCCCTCTTCCCCTTCTTCGCTGTACCTTTGCCTGAGTAGTCACGTAATAATGGAGAATCAGACAAGCAGGCTTACTGGTTTCACATACAATTCATGACCACAAACCTCTAATGGGCATTTAACACTGGCTGGTATTACATGTTTTTCAATAAGTTCACTTTATTTTATTTTTTTCCTTTTTGTCTCTTTTTTACTGACCAGTAACAGGATTGCAACCCTCGATGTCACGCCCGTACTGGGGACTGGCAACGGGATTGCAACCCTCGGTGTCGCGCCCATACCGGGGACTGGCAACGGAATCGCAACCCTCGGTGTCGCGCCCGTACCGGGGACTGGCAACAGGATTGCAACCGTCGGTGTTGCGCCCGCACCACGCTCAGCCAGTGAGCGGGAACCGGTCTCCACATGGAATCCGAACCCTTGGTGGGAGTGGCGCACTCTCCAGTGCGCCACCGGGCTGGCCCAATAAGTTCACTTTCTGAATACCCAAAACAACTATTTCATACTATTTATTCTCTCTTTTCAAACCTTCCAAACTCTTTCTCCTGTCCCCAAATCTCATCTGAGGATATTATCTCATATTTCATTGATCTTTCTATCTTTTCCCCTTTATTTTGTATCCCAGGAGCAGAGTTGCACACTATCATAATTAATTCATGTAAGGCCAATTTTATTTTATGTTTATTTTATTTATTTGAGTTGCACACTATCATAATTAATTCATGTAAGGCCAATTTTATTTTATGTTTATTTTATTTTATTTATTCCTTGTTCTATTTTCATTGCTGTTTCTCTGTTATCATAGGCACCACATAATAGATTTCATTTATGTCCTCAAATATATACATATATGTTTTATATTTCTATAAATGACATTGTGCTTTAGATTTCATTCTGTAGTTTTACTTTTTCCTTTTAACACTATATATTTAAGGAATCATCTGTGTTGCAGCTTGTATAATTTGTTGCTTGTAGCTGATGTTTGGCATTCTATAGTATTCACCCAGCTACTTCTCCATTATCATGTGGATTGTCTTCAACTCTTTGTTGCTAGAAAAACTACGGTGAACATCCTTGTACGTGTTCTTCAGTGGCCCTGCAGGATGGAATTCCCAGTATGTATTCAGTGGCAGATTACTGGATAACAAGGCACATGCATTCTCTATTTGACCAAGAACTCTCAGATTGCTCTCGAGAATGGCTGTACCAATTTACACTCCTATCATCACCACATCTGGAGTCCCATTCTCCCCTATCCTCAGAAATCTCTGGTGATATCTGAATTTCTAATTTTTGAAAATGTAATAAAGAAACTTCTTATAAAGAAGCATCTCAGAGTTGTTTTAATTTGCATTTTCCTGCTCATAGGCAACAGAAACTGTCTGAGAGTGACCAGATATTGAATTTAATAGACAAATGCTTCCAAGGAGGCTTTTAAAATATATTTAAAGATCTAAAGTAAACCATGATTAAAGAAGTAAAGAAAGGAATGATGACAATGTCCTTCAAATAGAGAACGATAAAGGAATCCCATCAATAAAAGGACAGTATAAAAAATGGAAATTCTAGAGTTAAAAAGTACAACAACTGAAATGAAAAATCCACTAGAAGAGGCTCAAGAGTAGATGTGATCTTGCAGAAGAATTGGTGAAATTAATAGATCAATAAACATTACACAAATCTGAAGATCAGAGAGAAAAAAGATTGAATAAAATTAAGAGCCTCAGATAGAAGTGGGACACCATTAAGCACACCAATTTATGTATAATATAAGTACCAGAAGAATAGGAGAAAGAGAAAGCAGATAAAAATAGTTGAATAAATAACATCTGAAAACATTCCAAATTTATTTAAAAAACATTAATGTAGGGCCGGCCCCGTGGCGCACTCAGGAGAGTGCAGTGCTCCCACCGCGGGTTCGGATCCTATATAGGGTATGGCCGGTGTGCTCACTGGTTGAGCGCGGTGCGGCTGGTCACCAAAAAGACAAAAAAAGACCCCAAAACATTAATGTATACATACAGGAAGCTCAATGAACTCCAAGTAGAAAAAATACAGAGACCCATAAACGGACACATCATTGTAAAAATGCTAAAAGTTGAAGACAAGGAGAAAATTTTGAAAGCAGCAAGAGAAAAATGACTGATCACTTACAAGGGAACTCCAAAAGGATAAATAGCAGACTTCTCAGCAAAAACAAGGGACACCAGAAAGGAGTGAAATAACATGTTCAAAGTGCTCAAAGAGAAAATTGTCAACCAAGAATCCTATATCCAGCAAAGCTGTCTTTCAATACTGAAGGTGAAATAAAAACATTCTCAACAAAAACTGAAAGAATGTATTGCTAGCAGGCCTGCCTTACAGAAAACCCTAAAGGAAATCCTTCAGACTGAAAGAAAGTGACACTGAACAATAATTCAAATTTATAATTAGGTAATTATAAAATATAATATATATATACATTTATCATTCTTTTTTAAACTGATTTTAAAAGCAATTGTATAACACAATAATGTACTGTTGGGTCTATAACATATAGAAATGTAACACATTTGGCAATAACAGCACACAGATGGTAGGTGGCAGCAAATCTGTACTGGATTAAAGAAATGGCTCCAAATCCACAGAAAAAAATGAGGAGAACCATAAATGATAAATAAGAAAGTTAATATAAGAAAGTTATAGATATATATGTGTTCCCCATTCTTCCCTTAGCCTATTTAAAAGACAAAAAAGTATATAAGGTAATAATTATAACAACATATTGTTGGGTTTGTAATGTTTATAAATGTAATATATATAACAATAATACCACAAAAAGGGGAAAAGGGAATGGAACTATATAGGAGTAACATTTCTATATTTTATTGGCATGAAGTTAGTTTAAATTTGAGCCTGATTAGACAAGTTAAAATATACATGGTAAGCTGAAGAAAATAATCAAAACGATATAGTGAAAAAAAACAATTAAAGAAATTAAAATACTACATTAAACATTCACTTAATGTGAAAAAAATCAGTTAAAAGGGAATAGAGGAACAACAGCAATAACAACAACTAAAACACCCACAATACACATAGAAAACAAAAGGTAACATGGCAGATATAAATCCAGTTATACCAATAATAACATTTAATTTGAATAGATTAAACAATCCAATTAAAAGTCAGAGATGGCCAGACTTAATAAAAGAACAAGATCCAATTACATGCTGTGTACAAGAGACACATTTTGGAATCTAAGATACAAATACTTTCACATTGAAAGTAAAATGATGGGAAAAGATATACCATGCAAATAGCAACCACAAGAAAGCTGGAGTGGCTATAGCCATATCAGAAAAAATAGGCTTCAATACAAAAAATGTTACTAGAAATAGAGAGACATTTTATAATGATAAAAGGGTCCATCCAGCAGGAAGATATATTAGGTATGAACATATGTGTACATAACAACACAGTACCAAAACACACAAAGTAAAAACTGTCAGGAATGATGGGGATAATAGACAATTCAACAACATGAGCTGAAGACTGCAATACCCCACTTTCAATAATGGATAGGACAATTAGGCAGAAGATAAAAAAAACTCAGAAGATTTGAATGCCACTAAAAACCAACTAGACCTAACAGACATCTCTAAGACACCCATCTCAATAACAGCAGAATACAAATTCTCCTCAAGCACACATAGAACATTCTCCAGGACAGACTATACTGCTAGGCCATAAAGCAAACCTCAATAAATTAAAACAATATATAAATAATACAAAATATATTCTCTAAGTACAATGAAATTAAATTAGAAATCAATAACAAAAACATTGGAAAACTCACAAATATATGAAAATTAAACAACACACTCATAAAACCAACGGGTCAAAGTAGAAATCAAAAGGAAAGTCAAAATATTTGGGATGAATAAAAATACACACCACACTAAAATTTGTGGGAAGCAGTAATTAGAGGGAAATTTTATGCTTGCAAATACTTACATTAAAAAAGAAGCAAGATCTTAAATAAGTAACCTAACCTTCCACCTTAAGACATTGGAATAAAAGAACAAACCAAACTTAGTGCGAGCCAAAGGAAAGAAGCAGTAAAGATGAAAGTGGACATTAATGAAATAGAGAATAAGAAAACAATAGAAAAAAATCAATAAAACCAAAAGCTGGTTCTTTGAAGAGACCAATGATATGTGAGAAAATCAAATTAATAGAATCAGAAATGGAGGGTACATTCCTATCAAGCTCACAGAAATAAAAAGAATAATAAAGGAGTCCTATGAACAATTGTATGCCACTAAATTAGATGAAACTTAGATGAAATGGATAAATTCCTAGAAAGACACAAACTATGAAACTGATTCAAGAAGAAATAGACAATCTAAATAAATGTATAACAAGTAAAGAAATTAAATTAATAAAAAAAACTTCCCACACAAAAATAGCCCAGGCCCAGATGGCTTTACTGGTGAATTCTACTAAACATTTAAAAAAGAATTAATACCAATTCTTTACAAACTCTTCAAAAAGACAGAAGAAGAGGTTGGAATATTTTACAATTCATTCTATGGGGCCCTGATACCAAAAGCAGGCAATGACATCACAAGAAAACTACAGATCACTCTCTCTTATGAATATGGATATAAAAATCCTCATAACATACTAGCAAACTGAAACTAGTAGAATATAAAAAGGATTATACACCATGATCAAGTAGATTTTATCCCAGGAATGCAAGGGTAGTTTAACATCTGAAAATCAATGAATATAATACAAGGATAGTTCAAAAAATTCATGGAAAAATAGAATTAAAAGATAATATGGGGCTGGCCAGTTAGCTCAGTTTGTTAGAACATGGTGGTGATAATGCCAAGTTCCAGGGTTCAATCTGTGTACCACCCAGCCATCAAAAAAAGAAATTAAAAAAAAGATAATAGGATTTTTTACATGAACTTTTTGAAGGCTCCCTCATACACCATGTTAATAGAATAAAAAACAAAACCCACATGATCATTTCGATAGACACAGAAAAAGCATTTGACAAAACCAACACCCTTTTATGCTAAAAACACTCAACAGACTGGGAATAAAAGAGAACTTTTTCAGCCCGATAAAGGGTATCTTCAAAAAACCTAGAGATAACATCATACTTCATGGTGAAAGACTGGATGCTTTTCCATATGACCCAGCATTCCACTCCTAAGGTCAGGAATAAGACAAGAATGTCTGCTCTCATCACTTCTATTTAACATTGTACAAGACACTCTAATCATTGCAATTAGGCAAGGAAAATAAATATAAGGTATTCATATTAAAAAGGAAGAGCAGAACTACCTCTATTGCGGATGACATAATCTTGTATATACAAAATATCAAGGACTCCACTGAAAAATGAATAAGTGAGTTTGGCTAGGTTGCAGGATACAAGATCAGTATGCAAAAATTAATATTATTTCTATACATTTGGAATGAATAATTCAAAATAAAATTAAAAAACAATTCCATTTACAATAGCATAAAAAAGAGTAAGATATATGAGGATAAAGTTAACAAAATAAGTGAAAAAATTGTACTCTGAAAACTATAAAACATTGTCAAAACAAATTAAAGAGGATCTAAATAAATTGAAAATATCCTGTGTTCATGGATTGGAAGGCTTAATATTGTTAAGATGACAACACTCCCCAAATTGATCTACAAATTCAATTCATTCCCTAGCAGGATCCCAGGTAGCTTCTCTGTAGAAATTGACAAGTTGATTGCAAAATTCATGTGGATATGCAAGGGACCCAGAACAGCCAAAACAATGCTGAAAAGAAGAACAAAGTTGGAGGATCACACTTCCCAATTTCAAAACTTACTACTAAGTAACAGTAATCAAGACAGTGTGGTACTGGNTTGATTGCAAAATTCATGTGGATATGCAAGGGACCCAGAACAGCCAAAACAATGCTGAAAAAGAAGAACAAAGTTGGAGGATTCACACTTCCCAATTTCAAAACTTACTACTAAGTAACAGTAATCAAGACAGTGTGGTACTGTCATAAGGATGGATGGATAGATCAATGGAAGAGAATTGAGAGTCCAGAAATAAACCCATGTGTTAACTAATTTTTGGCAAGGGTGCCAAGACAATTCAATGAAGAAAGAATACTCTTTTCAACAAATGATGCTGGGACAACTGGATATCCACACACAGAAGAATGAAGTTAGACCCTCTACCCCATGCCATATACACAAATTAACTCAAGATAGATCAAAGACCTAAAAGTAAGAGCTAACACTAGAAAACTCTTAGAAGACACATAGAGGTAAATCTTTACGACCTCAGCTATGGCAATGGATTCTTAAATATAATATCAAAAGCACAAGGAACAAAATAAAAATAGATAAAGTAGACTTCATCAAAACTGAAAGCTTTTGTTCATAAAAGGACACTATCAAGAAAGTGGGGCTGGATTGTTAGCTCAGTTGTTTAGAGTGTGGTGTTATAAGATCCCCGTACTAGCCAGCTGCCAAAAAAAGAAAAAAGAAAGTGAAAAGAAAAGACGACCCACAGAATGAGAGAAAATATTTGCAAATCACATAACTGAATAATTGATAAGGAACTTATGTCTGGAATACATAAAGAACTCTTACAACTCAGTAGTAAAAAGACACATAACCCAATATTTAAAATGGGCAAAATATTTGAGGAGACATTTCTCCAAAGATATACAAATGGCCAAATGCACATGAAGAGATGTTCAGCATCATTAATCATTAGGGAAATGCAAATCAAAACTACAATGAGATACCACTTCACTCCCACGAGGATGACCATAAACAAAAAGTGACAAAATAACAATTATTGGTCAGGATATTAGGGAAATCAGAACCCTCAAACGCTGCTTATGGGAATGTAAAGTGGTGCAGCCACTTTGGAAAACTGTCTGGCAGTTCCTCAAGTGGTTAAACACGGAGATACCATATGACCCAGCATTCCACTCTTAGGAAGAGAAATGAAATATACGACCACACAAAAACTAGTACAGGAATGTTCATAGCAGCAGAGATCATAAAAGCTAAAAGGTGGAAATAACCCAAACGTCCAAAACTGTTGAACAGATAAACAAAATGTGGTATACTCACACGATAGAATATTATTTGGCTATAAAAAAGGAATGAAGTACTGATACATGTTGTGACATGGAAGAACTTTAAAAACATTATGCTAAGTCAAAGAAACCAGTCATAAAAGTCCACACAATAGACTTTGTGATTCCATCAATTTGAAATGTCCAGAATAGGCAAATCAATAGAGACATAAAGTAGGTAATTTAGGGTTGGTGGGGGTGGGGTAGTGGATGGGAGGATGGAGGGATAATAGCTAAAGGGCGTGTGCTTTTTTTGAGGTGATAAGAATGTTCTAAAATTGTGGTAATGGCTGCACAACTGTGAATATACTAAAAACCACTGAATTTTACACTCTGAATAGGTGAATTGTATCTGAATTATAACTCAATAAAGCCGTTATTTAAAAAACACCATTAATGAGAAAGATGTGTTAAAATCTGCTACTATGATTGTAGATGGTCTATGTTCCTTGTTGTTCTGTGAAATTTTGCTTGATATATTTTGAATCCATGTTATTAGGAACATACAAATTTTAAATTGTAATATATTATCGATAAAGTGAACCTTTTAATACGTGATCTTTATCTTTAATAGTGCTTTTTCACTGTAATGTTTGCAGTGTATTTATACCAGCTTTGTTATTCAAAAACTAAAAAAGCAACAATAAACATCATTTTTATATATACATCTTTGTGCACATGAGCAAATAGGGCAGTAGAAGAAATTTCTTGAAGTGTAACTGCTGGGTAAATAACATGTAGGATTTGAATTTGATAGATGTATCAGTGTGCTTCTACACGGACAGACATTTTAGGATTAGAGTGTCTTTTGCTTTGTGATGAAGGGGTGAATGAGCCCACACTCAGCCTATCTGGGTTACAACTTGCCCACGTGGTAACCAGTCTCCACACCAGGCACGCAGGCCCTGGTGTGGAAGGAAGCGTTGCTGGGAAGACTCACCTTGCTGATCTCTGTCACGGACATGGTGATGCTGTAGAGTTGGTTCTTACTGGTGCTGGCAATCAGGGTTTCCTCTGAGGGGCTGAAGCACATGCAGAGAACATCCTGTTTGTCAGACTGACTTGGGTCATTGCTCTGTGGGTCTATTGGAATCTGCCAAAGATGCAAGACAGCTGTCAGTAACGTCCGCACGCTGTCAGTGTGTCCTTAGACTTTCGGAGTTCTTTCAGATACTTTTAGCTTACAGACTCCCAGACCAGGATGCTCCCAGGGATCCTCCTCAGGTGTGGAGAAGGGAGGGCTTGAGTCACCTCTGTTGCTGTGGGTTTTAAACACTACCGTGTATTCACCTTTAAGTGATTAGAGACTGAATAATAAGACAGCAGCATATGTGAAAACTATCAATCTATAGATCTCAATTTGAGATTCCCACTTAACACGAGGATCAGTCTAAATCCCACACTTGTCTACCTGTTGGAAGCCTGTGTGTGCACTCACTTGGCACCAAGTACCCCAGTGTACATGCCAGGGCAGCACAGGGTGGGTGCCCCACTTAACACGAGGATCAGTCTAAATCCCACACTTGTCTACCTGTTGGAAGCCTTGTGTGCACTCACTTGGCACCAAGTACCCCAGTGTACATGCCAGGGCAGCACAGGGTGGGTGACAGACCAGAGAACAGAGAAAAGGTCACATAGCTCCTCCAGTGGCCTCTGAGAGGGTATATAGTTTCCAAGTAGACATTATAAAATTAGATTTTCTTTTTGTGCTATTTATCTTCTTCCATTAACACCAAACTTGCTGCAGCTCCTCCAGTGGCCTCTGAGAGGGTATATAGTTTCCAAGTAGAAATTATAAAATTAGATTTTCTTTTTGTGCTATTTATCTTCTTCCATTAACACCAAACTTGCTGAAAGGCTGGCCTGCACATACCATTTCCGCTTCCTTACCACGCCCTCTGTTCTTAATTCCTTACAATTTGGCTTCTACTGCATCATTTACTGAAACTGTCCTCATGAAGATCAGAAATTTCCTATCACCAATGCCAGAGGGCCCTGCTCAGTCCTCATCTTCTCGGCTTTTCTAGAGCCTGTAACAGTGAGGGCAGCTCTCGCCTCCCTGGGTCCTGCACACTGGGCTCTCATGCTTTGCTCCCTGTGCCTGGAGTCTGTCTTCCTATATACCCCACCCTTCTTCATGTAGCCAACTCCCCTACGCCACCAGGACAGCACTGGCTCTAGGAAGCCTTCCCTGACCTGCCCCGGGCTGGTGGTAATCCTTACATGTGCCCATAGCCCCTGGGAATTCCCTCTGTTGTCATACTTATCACAGTGTGTAAAGTAGAATGGGAGCCCTCAGGCCAAGGACCTTGTCTGTCTTGTCCTGCTGGATCCCAGCACTTAGAAAGGTGCCTGGCATGTAGCAGGTTGCTCTTCTCCTCCAGAGACAGCGAGTTCCTGGAAGGAAGGGGCCAATTCTGACTCATCTGTCACAAGTCCCAAGTCTGGAGTCTGTCCCATGGTACACAATAGATATTTGTTGAGTGAGTGAGTGAATGAATGAACGAATGGTCACTACATCTCAGCATCCTCTGCTGGGCTCCCAACCTGTCTCAGTCTATAAATCAGGAAATGCTAAGTCTTGATCTCAGTCCTCTTTTTTTCTCTCTCTATTTTTTATCTCTCAGTCACTTTACCTAATATGAGGGTTTCAACGAAAGCAATGGAAGTAAAAATAATTACAATGATAAATACTTAAAATAGTAGAAATGAAGCACCAATCACATGCCAGGCACATGCTAAGCACTATATGTGTGTGTATATATGTGTATATATTGATCCTACTCCCCAAGTCCAAATCCACATTTCCAACCGTTTCACTTGATTCTGGTCTCTGCTCACTTGTCAACTTCCTCAGTGGGGCCTTCCCTGACCACTCCTTCTAGAACACAACCCCCCTCCCTTCCCTGTCCTCCTGGTTTATTTTCTTCACTGCGTTGATTGCCATCTGACAATCTGTTTTTGTTTCTTTGGCTGTTGACTGAGCTCCAGGGGCAGGCTCTTCATGTGTTGGTTTCCCACTGTATCCCCAGCACCTACCACAGAGCCTGGCAGATAGTAAACACTGAATCAACATTTGTTAACTCAATAAACAAATAATTTGTTAGAGAATGAATTGCTTTATGGGCAAAGTAAACTCATAATGCTTCTGCCCTCTTCCCCTCAGCCCCTACCCACCTTGCTCTTACCCCCCAATTTTCTCAGGCATCCAGCCTAAAAAGCCTGGGTGTCGTCTTTGAGAGGTCCCACATCTACTCAGGGCAAGTCCTGTGGACATAACCTTCCTATAGGCGCTTGCACTTCCTGCTTCCTCTGCTACTCACGGCCCTGATCTTAAACCTCACTAACTGTGCCTAATCATAGCATAACTTCTGTCATTCTTTGAGCACTGCACACAGGCGGTCATTTCATCCTTTTGATACCTGTGGGGATGAGTTGTTTGCTCAATGAAGGTTTTGATAGACCCAGCAACTCATCTCAAGTCACTCAGCAAATAAGTGGCAGATCCAAATCTGACTCGTTCAGTGTGTTTTTAACCACTTCCAGTCCAAAGCCTTTAAAATTGCTCCCAGGGCTGGCAGGTTAGCTCAGCTGGTTAGTGCATGGTGTTGTAACACCAAGGTCAAGGGTTCAGATTCCTATACCAGCCAGCCACCTAAATAGATAGACAGACAGACAGACAGATAGATAGATAGATAGATAGATAGATAGATAGATAGATAGATAGATAGATAGATAGATAAAACTTCTCCCACTATGTATCAGAGGCAGATTCCTTTTTTAAAGCATAACTCTAAACTCAAATGCATTGCAGGGTGCCTGCTGAATCACACGATCTCCCACTATGTATCAGAGGCAGACTCCTTTTTTAAAGCATAACTCTAAACTCAAATGCATTGCAGGGTGCCTGCTGAATCACACGAACACCCATCAGGCTGGCTTTCACCAGCCTTAGCTTTCCTCTCTTCCCTTCAAGTGACTTCACTCCCTTCCCACTGGGAAACAGACCATTTCCCAAACACACCTCAGGCACCCCTCAGTGGTGCCTCTGACCAAGTTTTTCCTCCATCTGGAGTTTGTAATTTGTTTTTTCCTGTCAAATGTCATCCATCTTTTAAGACCGTTTTTCAAAGATTGCCATCAAACACCAAGAAGCCCTCTTGATTCTTCCCCAACCAGATATGATCTCTTTCCACAACACTTTGTATCATTTATTCCACAAACATTTACTGAATGCTTACCATGTGCCAGGTGGTATGCTTGGCATTAAGTATCAATAATATTATAATTATTATGGGAACACTAAGATTCAAAGAGGAAAAATAATTTGCCAAAGTTTTCTCCCAGGATTTGAATCCAGATCTTCCTCCTTCTAAACCCCAATTCCGTCTGTCTCATCCTCAGACAGATGTCTGAAGCCACCATTTCTGCTCAGTGCTACAGCCCCGTCCCCTCACATCAGATGCCTTGTCAGAGCACTGCTGCTGGAGAACAGCTGCCAACAGGACTGCAGTTTTGCTTCTTCCTTCCTTCTCTCCTTACCTGGATTTCCCTGCTCTCACGGTAAAAATCCTTATCTTCCATCTTCTCAAACAGCAGAACTCTCCCTGGCCCAGCAGAACAGGCAAATCCCTTGGAATAGGCTGCAATAGCAAACACCTGGGGCATGGTCAGCTGGCTGGGGCTAGTGGCTGTCGTGACCTGTTCGTAGGAAGGGATCGGAGAGCTGACTGGTGGAAATTCAATCAGGCTGGAAAAGAAAAATAGCATATAAAGTTTACAGACACGACCCCAAAGAGATGAATTCTCTTGGCTCCCAACCTGTCTCAGTCTATAAATCAGGAAATGCTAAGTCTTGACCTCACTCCTCTTTTTTTCTCTCTCTCTATTTTATCTCTCAGTAACCTTACCTAATATGAGGGTTGCAATGAAAGCAATGGAAGTAAAAATAATTACAATGATAAATACTTAAAGTAGTATAAACAAAGCACCAATCACATGCCAGGCACATGCTAAGCACTATATATATGTGTATATATGTGTATATACTGATCCCAGTCCCCAAGTCCAAATCCACATTTCCAGAGGGCTGTCCTTGGGTGGAGGGAAATCACCCAGTGATCCCCTTTCCCAGAGCCAAATGCTACTCCTTGGCGTGAGAACGCTACACAAACTCCAAAGGGAGAAGAAGGTTACACATTTACCTGGTAGTTTCGCGACACTGTATGGTCACTCTACAACCACAGTGATAATGGTCATCCCCATTCTGTCCAGGAAAAAATGGCTCAGAGGGGGTTGAGTTTTCTAAGATCACACCACTAGTAAGTGGTAG